TTTTTGAAAAATACTGGTGATGGTTGCACAACTCTGTGAATATACTAAAACCCACTGAACTGTACAGTTTAAATGGGTGAGTTATATCTCACCCATGGGTGATGTGTCAATTATATCTCAATAAAGTTGTATTTAAAAAAATTTTCACTGTACAAAATGTTCTCATAGGTGCAAACTAATAGAATTTCAAGCTATATTTACAATTTATTTTAAAAATGTTGACCTTAATAAATATTTAAAGCTTTAGAAATATGAAATTATATATGTTGTAGCCATCATAATATTGTAGTGCAACATGTTCCCCACATGTGTGGTGATGCTGGTGTAAACAAACCTGCACTGCCAGTCGTGTAAAAGTACAGCACATGCGATTATATATACTACACAGTACTCAGTAATGATAACAAATGACTGTTACGGGTTTATGTGTCTGCTATACATACTATACTATGCTTTTTATTGTTATTTTAGAGTGTGCTCTTTTTACTTATTAGAAAAAATGAGCTGGTAAACATTATGCTGTGTTACCTTATCAGCAGCCACACATCTAGTGTTGACCGTGTCTCCTGATTGTGCCATTTTCTCTTGTGCTTGATTTAATCTCATGTTGTTTTATAAATTTAGTGTAGCCTAAGTGCACAGTGCTTATAAAGTCTACAGTGTGTATAGCGATGTCCTAGGTCTTCACATTCACTCACCACTCACTCACTGCTCGACACAGAGCAACTTCCTGTCCTGTAAGTTCTATTCATGGTAAGTGCCCTGTCCATGGGTACCATTTTTTGTTTTTTTATACTATGTTTTTTCTATGTTTAGATACACAAATACTTACCACGGTGTTACTGTGGTAGTACAGTAACATGCTGTACAGGCTTGTAGCCTAGGAGCAGTAGGCTGTACCATATTGCCTAGGTGTGCAGTAGGCTAGACCACCGAGGTTTGTGTAAGTGCACTCTGTGATTTTCACACAACAGGATCACCTAATGCCACGTTTCTCAGAAGATGTCCCTGTAGTCAAGCAGCACATGACTGTACTACCATGCTATCCATACTTTTCCTGCCAATTTTCATTAGTAGTAAGTGGCTTTTCATGGCCATCTTAGGAAAACAACCAGATGTAAAAATATCTTCTTATAAGAAGAGTTTAGTGAGAGCTCTGTCTCTTTTTCCTTGGACTATGACAGGTATACATGAAGGTGAGCAATAACATCATTATCTAAAAAGAAATACATAAATATTTGCAAAATAGTTTTTGAAATGCAGTCAGTTTGGGATTTTTTTGTAAAAATTGTTTTAAAATATTTTGGATTTAAAGTGAAAACTTGGAACCTTTGATAAATAATATTGTGGCTTTGGTTTTTGTGTAGATGGACTATTTCTCTGTCTTTTAAAAATAACTCTTATATTTCACATTAACTTTCTAGTAGCTGAAATTGTTCACAACACAGTTTAAAGATAAATGCAGTATCGGGCTTTGAATTTTTTTTTTTTTTTTGTAAATATTAAGACCTGAGTACAAAATGAGGGCTGTATTGTGGATTAAGTGAAATATCTCAAGGCTGTGCTGTTCTGATAACTGAACCTGAAGTGACCTTTCTCAGACACAATTACAGAGCTGTATGTTTTTCCTTTAATTTCATCAGGGGTTTAATTAGTATACAAATAAAACTTCCCTTATCTTCCTTTCTACCTAATTGGCTTGTCTTCGCTTATATATGAAGTATGTGAAAGTGGGCTGTAATTAGGGTGACCGTGTTAACCTTTTTTCCTCAAATGTACTGTTGCCTAAAGGCCTCAAGGCCTGAAAACAGTGCTTTGGATTATTGCTTTGCAATCACTATGGCTGTCCCATAGGTTTTCTCATGAGCAGAAGGGCTTTGGGTGCTGCAGGTTCCCACTGCTTAACTGGATCTTCATTCTTCTCCCCACTAAATGTTTATTGATTATCTCGCTGTTCCAGGCTCAGCCTCCAACAACTTAATATCAGGTGACAGTCAGGAGAGTTCTCCAAGTAATTAGAGTTGAGCATTGGGGGAACAATTAGGAGCAGAGTTATTAAACTTGATTTATCCTATTCTCTCCTGAACAGTTTCTTGGATATCAGAACATCACACTTTTACAATCTACCCTGGTTGAGAAATTAGTGGCTAACCTGCTGCTTATCATTGTTGCCTTGCTGCCTAGAGGCACACCCTCTTGGTTTCAGTCATTCACTTGGAAATATTAGAGTCCATAAAGTTTATCATGGGTTTTAATTAGGTAAATCTGAACAGAAGAAAAGAAAAGCTGAATTAAAAAAATATATATATATAATTTATATATGTATAAAACATATTACATATTATGTATGATGTAGGTACATATGTGCGATGCATATACACACACATATGTACATATATTTTTCTTTCTTAAATGCTCAGTGTTAGGATTTTAAAAGATAACTCCTTTGTCATCAAAAACAAGAAAGGTAAATATTAGAGAAAAGACATTATTATTATTATTATTATTTTTTTCCTCACCCGAGGACATTTTTCCATTTTTTGTTCAGATAGAGCGGGAGGGAGAGAGAGGAAGAGAGAGAGAGAGAAACATCGATGTGAAGGGACACATCGAGTGGCTGCCACCCGCACGACCAACCAGGGCCGGGGACAAACTGCAACCGAGGTACATGCCCTTAGCGGAAACCGAACCCAGGTCTCTCTGTACCGCAGGCCGACGCTCTAACCGCTGAGCCAAACCGGCCAGGGCAGAAAAGACATTATTGAATCACTTTTTAGGTCTTGGTGTTTTGTGTACATCTCCATGGACCCACTGATGTCTGTAGCTTCCATTGTGATGTCCCTCAACTCCTTAAAATGAGACTTCCATGTGTATACGTTATATAAATGTAATGGTTTTAAAAAAACATCTCTTCATTTTCACACTAAGGAAGTGTGATCTATATCACTTAGTTTATACCACTTTTTATTCATTTTCCGTAATTTCAATCTTAGGATAGACTCTTCAGCTGTGCCTGTGAAATAGTGTAAGCTTTAGGAGAGATCGGTGGTTCCCTACCATTGCCCCTGAAAGATGAAAATAAAGAAGATTGAGACATATAGTAGAAATTTGAATTTTATGAGTTTTATCTTCTTTGAAAGGATATCATAGGATTGTTGAAAAGTCAAATGTGGTTTTATAATGATTCCAAAGTCACGGGTTCACTCAGATTGGACCAGCAAGCTCCATTCTGTACAAGGCTAGAGACAATATCCTGAATACCCCTCACAAATATACACCTATGGTCATAAGAGTTACTGAGCAAGATAATTTGAATTGATTGGTACAAATCTATTATTTCTGTTGGAAAAAGAATTCCAGCTTTATGTGTAACTAACTGGTAGTGGGTTATTCGTTTTATCTTTGTACCTGAAAAATAGCATTATTTTGTTTTTTATTACCTGAAATATGTCAGAAAGGACTCAAATACATTTTATTTCATTTTTTAATGAAGAAATCTCATGATACTTCAGTGCCTTTAGGTATCTTAAAACTGGCACAAAATAAGTAGGTTTACCATGGCATTTAAAATGTGTTCCTTGTTGTCTTTTTGAAGTTGGTTTGAATGTGACTATTTCTGTAGTGGGATGTTCTTAAAGATCTGTTAATACTAAAGATTTAAAGTAAAATTTAATATCTAAAAAGTAATCACAGCTTGCTTATTTTAAATTTTTGGATGGCAGTTTGACTATTTGAAATGTGAAATATTGAACTTAAAAAGTCAACATTTTAAAATACCTGATTTGACTGATGATTGCTTTCATCACTAACATTTAGAGTGAATTAATTGTTTTAGCTCCAGGCAGGCAGAGTACTACCTATTGTGAATGTTAAAAGAACACTATTAGAAGAGTTTAAACATGAAATTATTGCATTTTGGTTATCCTTTACTGGATATTTGAAGCATAGTTGTGAATGTTATTGTGTGACTAAACACTGAGCAAGAAGAAAAAATATTATGTGTATGCAGTCATTTAGTCAGCTTATTGTCCAACAAATTTAAATGAAAAACTGTTTGATAAGCTTATATTTTAGAAATTTCATAGGCAAAGGAGTGAGCAGATTTTTAGTGTTAAGAGATACTCTGATCCCTATACTATTTTACACCCTAGAATTTTAAATGAAGTCTACAAAATTCTCCTTTGAATTATGAGTTTCTGATTTTAAAACTTTTAGCCCTAAAGTCAAGATAAAGTTGTATACTTGCACCGTGAAATTTTTATGCTAAGAGAGTATTTCAGATTAAAGCAAATAGCAATCAACAGATTTTATATTTCTGTGACTTGGAAAATATTTATGGAATATAAATAATTCCAACTACAAGTATTATTTCTACTTTTCTCTTTTGAAACATGTTGATCATATTGTGTTGCTATCCTGGACATGAGTTATTGATAGGAAGTAAGTGAATTTTATTTCGGAGTCCAGTTTGTCCACTGGCACATCTGTAGCAACTATTATAGATAGATTTGTAAAGACAGTAGTGGTATTTTTAAATCTTGGGTTACCTTTTCTCTTATAGGCATCATAATCCATCTTCCTCTCAATCATACACATACTTTGGGCATTTGATAGTTCTGATTTTAAATAGACTCTAAATTTTACACACCCCTCCCCCAAATCTTTATTTTTTCATCATTACAGAAAATGTAACTGGAGGTTTTTATAAGCAGACATTTTTAGTAAGAATAAAATATATTTATTTATTTGCCTTGCAGTATTTTAAAAAATAAAATAGAGTTGTGTTCTGTAGCTAAACATTTTTCAAAATCTTATTGGTTCTATCTTTTCTAATTAGTAAGTATGTAAAATTTTTGCAGAAAATTTGTGAAACCTTAATGTGTAATGACCCAGCTCTACTTCTCAGTCAGTCTGTATCCTTCTTTGTTTAATAGCCTATGGCATAAATTGAAGTTAATTATCAGGGCTGACAAGTAACTCTGTTTTCTGTCTGCTTGCAGAGTCTCTCCGAGGCAAAGATGGAGCTGAGAAGAAAAGATCAATCTCTGCGTCAGCTCAATAGACATCTTACCCAGCTGGAGCAGGACAAGCGTCGACTGGAGGAGAACATCCATGATGCAGAGAGTGCCCTCCGCATGGCAGCCAAGTGAGCATTTGGACCTTGGGGAGATCACTTAAAACAGACAAAAGATCAATTCTTACTTTCATGCTCCGGGTTTTAGCCCTGGATAATACAGTGTTAGAAAACAAAAGTACAGCTGTCTCTCTTTGAAATTCTCTGATATATCCTCAGAAAAGAAAACTCTTAACTCAACATTCTAAATGTATATTTTATTGAGAAACTTCAGAAAAGTATAAGTGTCTATATAACCTCTAATTAGGTGTATTTTGGGCTCTGTTGTAGTGTTACATGTTTGAAACCATGTTTTCATTAATATGAAATGTAAGACTCTTTGTTTAAAAGTTTTGCATAGTTTCTTCTATCACATATTCCTTATTCCCTTCTGCCCCACTTCTCTCCAAATTTTGCTCTGCATATATTATAATATACTAATATTTAAAGTAATATTTCAAAAAAATGATAGTGTGCAATCAACATGTGTATCATAGCATATTTTTAAGTGCAATAAAAACATACCGATCATAGGAAAGTAATTTAATGTTATAGCTGTATATTCTAATATGCTAAATAGAAAAGAATATACAGTTTTCAGAGTGGGAAACTATGTAAATGTGATGAGAGAGTTTTCCTTTTACCAGGTAATCAAGTTGACTTACACTATGAAGTTCAAGTTGAATCGTTCTCTTGGGCATTTTTATTTGTTCCCCAGTTTAAATTACATGGAGTACTTTAAGACAGTCCTTTGTACAACAACGTGGCTTAAAGAAAATCTATTTATGGATTAAAGAAACATCTAATTTTAATAAACTCAGTGTTCTCTAAATTTGGAATTCTGGATTCCTATACTTACAAAAATTTATATATTAATTAAAAAATTTTTTGAGATACACTCTCTTGTTAAATGCTTATAATGAAATATGAGTATGTCTGTAAACTAAATCATAGGATAGGGAATCTGCAGCCTTAGGATATCCACAGCTTTGCCAGTGGACCTGGGAACTTGCTCGTACATAAGGAAAAAACAGTTTATGCAAGGCCAAAATATGGCATGTTTGATCACCCACCGATAGTTTTTTTGAAAATTGTAAAACTGTGTAAAGCATTACCATATTAGGTATATGTAATTGTCATGAAAAAAAAAAAAATAGAAATTTGACTAAATCAGCTTTTTGTTTTCATTGTTCAGTCTTAAGTTTCCTCAGGTCAAATGAGAAGATGATTTCTAGTGTGTCTTTAGCTCTAAAAACTGAGATGAAGGAAAACAAGATTATAAAACCTCCAGATTCATATTGTATTAGAACATTGCTGCTACATCAGGAATTTGGGGTTTCTGTGAAATTTGGAGAAGTAATACATTGCTTCTAGTTTTCAGTTTATAATTTAACATTAAATTTTTGTCCTTAGCATTTTCATCCAAACTTTTTATTTAATGGTTAAGGCCAAATTCAGCATACAAAACTAATAGAAGAAACTAGTTCTAGTCAAGGTCATAGACAGTTTTAGTGTAGTTATTATAGCATAAAAACACTATACAAAAGGAATATATTATTTTGCTTAGTATGGCCACTTATAACCATACTATATTTTTAAATGTTTTATTAGAAACCAAAAGAATGAAAATTTATTCTCTTCAGCACATTTGAAATCAATAGTATAACCATGATCTCTTTTTCTTTTTCACTCTTTTAACTTTGAAGATATCCTTAAGATTTTTTCCCCTCTAATCTATGACAGACAATGTAATTGAAGATCAGAGTGAAATGTGGAGATATACCAGTGAATATAGTTAGGTTTTACACTTTTAAAAGTATGATAACTAACCATTATTTAACATAGTGGTTAATAATAGCCACTTACACTAACATGTTTAACAGTTGTGGTAAGGGTTGGGTTTTACTAACACCTAATCTTTATTTGTTTTTAGAGACAAAGAGTGTGTTGCTAATCATATGAGAACAGTAGAAAGTATGCTTCATAAGGTACTGTAATTTTTCTTAAATATTGTTCAACTTGTATATGACAGTTCTCCTAGTCATTATTTTTATTAAGTGCAAAGCACTTTAATTCATTTTGTACTTTCTTTAAAAATAAGTGAATGAAAGATCCTTTCAAATGACTGAAAATTTGTATTATACAGTGCTATATTGCATAACTATTTCAGAATTCACTTCATGTACATGATAAAACTATGAAAATAGTGGTTTCCCCAAACTGGTATAATTGCACTTGAATTATTTGTGGTCTTTGCTGAATGAACCAGAGATCATGAAGATTCTTACATGTCTAATAATGATAAAATGTTGGACCGCACTGTCTAACCTCTCACCACTCTTGACCCTACTCTGCTATATATGTACATAAAGACAGAGACAAAAGGTATTGTATTTGGCAGTACTCATATGTCTTAAGTAGGCAGTAATGTTTTTCAGGTTGAAATTTATATTCTCATAGGAATGTTTTTAAAGGAGAAATTTAATATATTTAATAATGCTATATTCTTAAATTAGATTACTTCTGTATGGTAAATTGACCTTTGTTTGTAGTGATGAGCAGCATGATACAGATACTGTGATATCACTAAAAGCAATATATTAACTGGCTGTATATTTTGTTAGCACTTTAGATTCAAAGATGTGTTCAATACTTCACTATTTAAAAATAGAGAAATGTTATGTGTTTCTGTTGTTGTCTAATTGACAATTTGTTGAAAACATAAATACCTAGTACTTTTAAGATAGATGGAATTTATGAATGAATCATATTTAGGATAATTTTGTCAGTCAAATTTATTTTATAGTATAGTTTAAGGAAGTATTTAATAAACATTAGCAAACTAATATTTAATACATTTTAACATTTTGGAAAAATTGGGCTACTGTATTCTTTTATATACGGAAAGTGACTAGCATTATTTCATATCAGTAAGGCATTTAGAAAAAAGATCTAACATTCTGAGAGCTATGTTTTAAAACAATATTTGTTTGAAACTATGATTTTTCCCTCTCATCTCTCATTTTAAAAAGTTCACACAGTGTAGTTTAAACATCAAACCTGTATATGCTAGAAATCTGAAATTTAGATTTGTAGGAAAAGACATTTTTGGTTAGATTTTTTTTTTTTTTTTGGTACCTTAGATAGGAAAAGTCAATTATGTCATATATATGTGGCATACCTTTTTACACAGTTAATGTTGCTATTGACATCCAGTTATTCTTCTTCTCAGCTAAAGGAAAAACATGTATAGCAGCTGTCTTAGGCTAGGATATTGACACCTGAGAGAAACTATCATCAATTTAAAACATATATTTTATCCTTTCCTTCTGAGAATGGCAAATATATATTTTAGATATAATAAAGACTGATTGCAAAAGGACAGTTGTAAAATACAGTTCTTCAGTTAGAGTTCACATTTTGTTTTTTTGTGTTATATGAAAAGAAAGAAAGATGTCTGTAGATTTGAACTATAGCCACTATAGATTTACTTTTGCTTTATGGCTTTTTCCCTTAAAATTTAATAATTATTTTGATTTATGTCTTTGGAAATTTCTATTTATGTAGTGGTTTTTAAAATATCAAATACTTTTAAAGCTTGAAGAAAAACTTTAGGAAAGGCTAATTGATTATTGGGCTAATTCTCTTCTCTACAAAGTTTGGGTGAGACTGAATGGATTAAAAGGAAGTGGCCCAGAGGGTCTCTCTGAAGATCTCAGGTTGGTGCAGACTGTTACTATAAAGACATGCCAACGTTTACAGTTTATTTTTCTGGCCATTTTGGACTGTCCAGTAGTAGCATTGTGCTGTCTTGGAGAAACAGAATAGTACAGAGAGAGGAGGGTCAGGCTCTTTCACAGTACAGTGGAAATGATCGTGACTACATCCAAACTCTTTAGCACAGTTGACCTATTCAAATTTTCTGTTTCTTTTTGAGTCAGTTTTGGTAATTTGGATTTTCCAGGACTTTTCCTATTTCATCTAGGTTATCTAATTTGCTGACATGCAATTGTTCACTTTCTTAGAATTGTTTTTATTTCTGTAAGGTCAGTAGTATATCACCACGTTTAGTCCTGATTTTAGTAATTTATTAATCTTTTTTCCCTGGTAAATTTAGTTGAGGTTTGTAAATTTTTTTGATCTTTTCAAGAAACCACATTTGGTTTTCTTGATTTGCTCTATTGGCTTTCTGTTCTCTATTTCATTTGTCTCTGCTCCAATATTTTATATCCTTTTTTGTTTGCTTTGGGTTTAGTTTGTTTCCTTTTTTTACTTTTATAAGATGGACCGTTAGGTTATTGGTTTGGGAATCTTTCTTTGTTTCTTTTTTTTTTTTTTTTTACAGTGAAGCATTTTTGTATTTAGAGTTAGCCAGCTACACTCAGTTTAGATTATCCCAATTTTGTTTGCAGCATTCAAAGCATCATAGTTGAACGTATGCCTTCTTCTCTCCATCAGGCCTGATCAGGGTGTTGACCTTGGCCACATCAGCGTCATAGAGCTTCTTCACAGTCTGTTTGATCTGGTGCTTGTTGGCCTTGACATCCACAGTGAACACAAGTGTATTGTTGTTTTTGATCGTCTTCATGGTTGATTCGGTAGTCAGGGAGAATGTGATGATGGCCTAGTGGTCAAACTTGTTTATTTTGAGGGTGCTTTTCTAAGGAAATTTGGACTGCCTTTAGAGATGCATTGTCTTGGTCTGTCAGAAGGTGGGTGACATGGGCCTCTTCTCTGTGTGGTGTGTGTGTGTGTGTGGCTGTGGATGCCTATTAGCACTGCTTTCTTTGCCTTCAAAGCCTTTGCTTTGACTTCAGCTTTGGGAGGGGCAGGGGCTTCCTCTTTTGATTTCTGCACCATCTTCATGAAAAGCTTGTTCTTTTTTCTTTTTTTTCAATGTAGGCACTTATAAATTTCCATATGAGCACTGTTTTCATTGCATCACATAAATTTTACTATGTTGTGTTTTTGCTTTTCTTTGTATCAAAGGATTTTCTAATTTTTTTGTGATTTCTTCTTTGACCTATTCATTGAGTTATTTAATTTCCAAAATATTTGGACACATTTTACATGATCTTTTTACTGTTGAGAGTTCTGATGTTATTCTGTATGGTTTGAATAGATACTTTGTTTGATTTCAATTCTTTTAAGTTTATTAAAGTTTATTGTGTGGTCCAGAATATGGTCTGTCTTGGTGAATGTTACGAAGCATTTAAAATGAGAATGTGTATTCTGCTACTGTTGGGTAGAGTATTCTATATATGTCTGTTATGTCTGGTTGATTTACAGTATTGCTCATGTCTTCAAGTTCCTTATCTTTTGTGTAATTTTTTTATCCATTAATGAATTGAGATTTTGAAGTCTCCAACTATTATTTTTCAACTATTTCTCCCCTCAGTTTTGCCAGTGTTTGCTTCATGTATTTTGGGGTTTGGTTGTTAAGTGCCTATATTATCTAGAAATTGTTGTATCTTCTTGGTAGATTGACTCTTTTATAATTATGTATTTTTTCTTTGTCTCTTGTAAATATTTTTGTCTCAAAGTCTATTTTATATGATACTAGTATAGCTGCTCCATCTCTCTTTTGATTATTGTTTGCATGTTTGTATTTTTTTCTGTCCCTTTACTTCAAACCAATTTGTGTCTAAGATAAGTCTCTTGTAGAGAGCATTTAGTTGAATCGTGTTTTTAAATCCATTCTGCCAATATCTAACTTTTAATTGGAAAGTTTAATCAATTTACATTTAATTAAATTAGTGGTAAGGATGGACTTTTGCTCTTTTTTATATATGTATTGTATCTATATTGTTTCACAGTTCCTATATTAGTCTCATCCCTTTTTGTGTGTTTTAGATAGTACTTTTCTAGTATAACATTTGATGTCCTTCTCTTTTGTTTATTATATATTTTTAGTTATTTTCTTAGTGGTTGCCTTGGGGAATACAGTTAACACCTTAATTCATAACCATCTAGTTTGAATTAATACCAACTTAGTTTCAATAATATACAAAATCTTTGCTCCTATATAGTTCTATCTCCCATTTATGTTGTTGTTATGACAAATTACGTTAAGTGTCCATCAACACAGTTTACAATTAATATTTTCTGTAATTTCTTTTAAATCATATAGGGGGAAAAGAGGAGTTACACACCAAAAATATATTAATACCTACTTATATTTACTTGTGCAGTTACCTTTATTTATTTATTTTAGTGATCTTTGTTTCTTCATGTGGATTTGAGTTATTGTTTAGTGTCCTTAATTTCAGGCTAAAGCATTCCCTTTAGCATTTCTTGTAAGGTAGGTCTAGTAGTAATGAGCACCTCAGCTATTGTTTATCTTGGAGTGGCTTAATTTCTTCGTTTTTGAAGCATATTTTTGTTGGATATAGAATTCTTGGTAGACAGCCTCCCCCCCCTCCCCCCCCCCCCGCCTTCAGTGCTTGAATGTTTCAACTCCAAAATTTCTGTTTGTTTCCTTTCTATGCTTTATATCTCTTTTCTTATATTTCCTTCTTTGGAAAACATTGTTCTCGTGATTTCCTTTGGTTCTTTATACATGGTTTTCTTTAACTTTCTAAGAATGTATAAAATAATTGATTTAAAGTCATTTTGTGGTAAATCTCATGTGTAGACCTCATCAGCAACAGTTTTTTTTTTGGTACGTGCCCCTAGCGGGAACCCAACCCGGGACTCTCTAGTCCGCATGCCGACGCTCCAACCGCTGAGCCAAACCAGCCAGTGCAGCAACAGTTTTTATTTTTATTTTTAAATTTTTTTTCTTTATTGATTTTAGAGAGAGAGGAAGGGAAGGGAGAGAGAGATAGAAACATTGATGAGAGAGAACACTGATTGGCCGCCTCCTGCATGCCCCTCATTGAGGATTTGGCCTACAACCTGGGCATGTGTCTTGACCAGGAATTGAACTGGTGACCTCTTGGTGCATGGGTCGATGCTCAACCCCTGAGCCACACTGGCCAGGGGTGGC